ACCAGTGTCACATTCCTTTCAACTTCTAACAGTGACCCTTTATAGTGTTATACCATGTACTTTAATCCCTCAGATGTCTATATATAGAGTCTGCTAAATGAGTAATGACACATAGTCTGAAGAGTATACCAAGGCATTAAATTAATTTCCATATAATGTTGATTAATATGTCCACAATGTCATTATATGTAAGCTCATTATATCTGATACTGAACACTCTTCCTTCATAAATATAGCAAATTTTAAATGCTATATATATTATTCTAGCATGTGACAAATCCTTTCAAGCTGTAGATATTTATGGTTCTCCACAATTCTGTTGCCATTAAGCATCTCTTTGCACCTTCTTGGTCTCACGTGTTCCACTGACCTGAGGTGAAACAACAGCATTGAATCAGTAGTTTTTTCTACCACAAGTTGGTTGTCTGTATTGTACCAGAAGGTTTTTCTCACCCGAGTCCATCCTTCTAATCTACAAATCTACCATTTGTCCTGCATCGGATACTGTTGCCATATATGGTCTGGTGCTCCTGCAGTTCATCTCAAAACCCTTGACAAAATACAGAGACAGATGTACAATGAGATAGGTCCTGATCTGGCATCTCATCTACAGTCACTTTCTCACAGACATAATGAGGCTTCTCTCTGTCTTTTCTACAAATATTTTCATGGCAACTTCATAACGAGCTACTTTCATTGGTGCCCCATCTGCATGAATTCAAGCGTGCTACGAGGTTGGCATCTTGGTGCCACCTTTTTACTGTCGAAACAGTTAAATGTAACTACCTCTTCTACTCCAACAGCTTCTTCTCTTACACTTCCTGCCAGTGGAACTCCCTTCCTCCTACTTGTTTCCCTGATAGCAATAATCTTCAAATTTTCAAATGTAATATCAATTGGCATCTTCTGATGCCTTGATCTTGATCCCCGTTCTTCTTTATCCTTTCCTCAAACAACCCTCTTTACTCTTGCTCTCACTCTCTGTAACCCCTTGCATGCTGGTGGTACTCCCATCTTGCTTGGGGTGAAATGCTTAAAGAAAAAAAAAATCAAACTTTTGGCTATTCATCATCCCTCTTTACACAAAATTTTTAAGCATGTTTGCTGTCCCTTAATTCTGTAGAATTCAGTACGTCCTGTCCTGTAAGTGTTTAATTCTCTCAGTCCTCTTTCCTCATTACATGCCCAGAAATTTCAACTCATTCTAACTCTAAGCAGAAGTTTCCTTGGCATTTACTAGCAACTGTATTGCCTTTTCTCCAGTCAAAATTTACGATGATGTTAAAGTGCTCAGAATAATGAAACCTCTGAACAATTTTTACATTTAGTCCCAAAAATAAAATATCTGTATGCATACAAGATAAACATAACAAAAAAGTAGCTTGTCAGTCTTGTTTAATGAAACATGTATTAAAGAGTAATTGCTGCCCCAACACACAACTATATAGACTTAATATCCAGCTACTCTCATTTTCCATGTATAACCAGGCAAACTAGCAAATCCCTGTTGTAGAAACCTGCTCACTCATTTGTGTTTTATCAACACTCTCAGAATTAACAGTGATTTCTAATGTAATTATGCTAAGTGAATCTTAGTTACAGGTTCTGAGAGTGATCACATAATCTGGCATGATCAAAAGTTTGAACAACTTCATCAAAATGACTTCTGACTTTGTCCTAGCACAACCACTGATGGCTTTCACAGGATCTGGTTGTGGGGAAAATTGTGAAAATGGCCTACCTCGGAAACGCCCGCGAATCTGTGCATCGTGCAAACTTCGATTGTTCAACAATAAAAAAAACCAAAATGGCGGTGCCCATGTTTTATGCCGGGCGGTCTTGGACAGTTAACACAAAATCTCGTTTCGTCATTTGCATGCAAATTATGGTCGGTTCTCAGCTGTATAAAGCAAGCGTTTTTTTTTGTTTCTGGGCACTGAGTTTTTTGCTCATGAGAAGGTTGGACGTGTGACACTATTTTGTCAGTTACCCTCCTCGTGTTTCCTATCTGCTATTATCAATTGAGTCGTTGCTTTACCACCACACTGGTTTACCCAATTTCACTCATGGTATGGTTTTCAGGCACTTTCCAAAAAGTGTCACATGCTGGAATTGATTCCCAAGACAGATAACATCAAGAACTCACCTTATTGACAAATCGACCATGGTGAGATTTAAACCTGGAAAAAAAGTGAACATTCCAACCACTCCCTGTAATCATTTGTGCAAATGGAAATTTGATTAGATGTGTTTAATAACTCCTATTCATGATATAATCACTTACATAAACAGCTACTAATTAATAGCTTGGAACATTACCAGCTTGTAATAGAATATTCAACAAAAGAATGTTCGCTAAGAAGTCTGCTTTGATTTTAACTAAAAAATGATGTGGCCAAGTTTTTAAAATACAAGAAAGCTGAAAAAACAAATTCATCATTATTTTTAAAAATAAGATTCTCAAGGTTTGAAATTAAAACCAAAAAAAATTTAGCTGGAGTAAACAGTCTTTGTAAGAAAGCAAGAATATAAAAAGTAGCATTAATATATGAAAAGTAATCTGATCTTTCATTAAACCTGATTAAAAAAAAAGCAAAGCAAAGTAAAAATCAATTATATTTGATCAATTCCAGACATTTACATAAATACACATACACACACACACATAAAATCATTGAAACACAATTTTTTTGTTGGCATTTCTCAAGAAATTCAATCTTTAAGGTAATTTTTAAAAATGCTTTCCATGACATTTGTAGGTTTCATCTTTACTTATTTTCAGAAATTTTCATTGTTATTATTTGACTAGCATAGTACCTATCAAAAATGATGAGATTACTTATATATGGATCAGTATGGTAGCCAGAAAGAGGAATAGCCTAAAATGCAAATTAAAAACTGGAGATACCAAAAGCAAACAAGTACAAAAATTTAAATATCTGGGAAATGCTTTAACAGATGATGGAAAGTGTGACACTGAAATCTGAAGATGCATTGGAATAGCAAAAAATTGCCTTCTAAAAGCTAAGCAAAGTATTAAGAAAAAGAAACATTTCATTAGAAACAAAGAAAAGAGTACTGAACTGTTAGGTAATATCAATCCTCTTGTATAGCAGCGGATGCTAGGCAATCTCCTCGCAGATGAAGAAGAGATTTGAAGCATCAGAAATGTCATTCTACAGAAGGATGCTGAGAATAGCATGGACCAAAACATGTAAGCAACAACAAAGTTCTAGAAAGAATAAAAACAAAAAGCACGATTATAGTTAACATCAGGAAGAGATCAGGAAATTATAAACCCCTGATGTGATGTTGGCCATATTTTTCTTTCTAACTACATCTCTGTCTTGAAAGTGGTGGTAAAGCTTTTAGTATTGGAGACAATTAGTTTATTTTCAAATTTTGTTGATAGAATGTTGGAGTTATGTAGTTTGTGTTTTTGTTGTCAAAAATGCCTGTTCTCACTGATGGTTCCGACATTTTTGGACTTGTGGACATTGTATATTGGTTTTCTGGCATTGCGATGTGAGGTAGTGAAGAAGTGTAAATATTTTATCAATGTATTTCTCTTCTTCATCTAGGTATTCCAGGCTGCATATTCTAAGTGTTCTGAGGTAAAACCCTGTGATTAAACCTGATTTTACTTTTTGGCTGTGGTGGGAATAGAAATTGATTAAATCATTTTTTTACAAAAACAACAAACAAATAAATTGCCTAAAACACATGCTACACAACCTTCTCACCCGCAGATGGAAAGAACGTCATTAACCTGAATCTTGTTCACAATATCTCTAGTGCTAAACATTCTATCGCAGACTAAGTTTTGGCTTAAAATTCGCAAAAGGAATAAGAAAAGAAGGCACCCTAACCACATTAACCAAAAACCATACATTTGACTACACAGGCTTTGAAAAAGGGTTTCATACAAGGTATCATAGCTGCGGAAGAAACAACATTATCTAGAGGATACCTACTGGCACTAGAAAAACTGTCTAAGAGTAAAAACATAATTATAACCACATCCGATGAAGGAGATGTAATAATCCCATCATGGGCACCAACAACTACATTGAAAAATTAGAATCCCTCTTAAATTATGATTTCTGATTAAGTTTAAATCATAGTAAAATGTGTTAAATTCATGAAGGTTTCCTATTTGTTCCTTATCCTATCATATATATATATATATATGAAGAAAAATATATACGGAAAAAACAAACAAAAATCCTTATATACAATTTATACTGTTTTAATGTTAATATGTCAACGTCGGACATTTCGGTCTAATAAAACCATCTTCAGGACATATTCATAAATTATATGTTTTCTTCAAACTGTCGGATCTATATCCATATATTTGCTTACATATATATATATATATATATATATATATATATATATATATATATATATATACACACACACACACACACAAAAATATATATATATATATATATATATATATATATATTCAAACATTGTTAAATGTAACAGACAACAAATGTCTATTATGTTTGATCATGAGCCATTCTAAACTTCATATAGTTTCTTTAATTTTGGGAGAAAATTTGGGGATAAAATTATCCAATATTTGGATATTTTTTATTATGCTGTTCCTTGATCTAAGTTTTTGACTCACATGAGCCATCTTCAGAGTGGTTATACGGACATTTTAACAAAGACATTCAACATCAAAAACAATATTCTGTTGACATAGAAGATAGCTAAGCAATGATAAGAGTCAGGGAATAGCAGATGCAGGTCGTATGAAGCAGTTCTATGACATTGTACCATATGAGAGAACAAAATATTAACATGGGAACCATATGTCATGATGCATTGTAATGTGTTGTGACTAGTTTGAAATGTAATTTTGTTGAATGTGGGTTACTTTGTTTTAATGTGGATGGCTTCTAATATCTGCAGGTTCTTTTTACTGTATGTATTTGTGAGTAAAACAAAACAAGCCATTATCCATTTCACCACCTGCACAACTAACCTTACAGCACCTCATATTCTCAAGCGGTCACCCATCTAGGTACTGACCAGGTTTGATATTGCTTAACTTTGCTGATCAGGTGAGAATTGGTGTTTCAACATGATATGATCATAAAGAAGAAAAAGGGAATTCTTTTATTAATGTTAGGTTCATGAGTAAAGTTTAGAATAGATTATTCCAAACATCTTTCTTTGAGAAATCTCTGGCAACAAAAATTGTCTAGCATGACTCAGTGAATCATATTTCCATCAGCAGACTTAGCAATTGATTCAATAAACTCAATCCATTTGATGTCAGTGGAAAACATGAGACCAAGAAGGTGCAATAAGTTGCTCTCCTGGAGGTCAGCATCAGCCATGATGACAGAAGACAAAAATGGTTCTCTCTGATAAGACAGACTGTTTTTAATAGTACTTTTAATTTTGCAAAATAACTAATGTTATAAAATAAAATAAGACATATCTCAGCTGATTTACAGGCAAATACTCAAGAGCGAGAACCGGATGTGAACGGGACAAAGCCCCGTCACAAAATGACTATGACACGTGTTCTGGTCGAAAAATAAAATAATATTTAAAGTGCTCTATTTTTCGTCCAATAAAAATGCTTCCCTCCTAATTATACTCACTTCGTTTTTCGAGCCTGTTAAGTCATAAAAAAACACTATAAAAGGGGTCACACGGAAGTTCAACAGGCAGTCCACAGGTGACCCGTGAACAGACCTGTCACGGTCATCAGCTGTCAGCAGGAGAGCATGAACCACTGTCAACATGTGTGAACTACTATGAGAGATCGACCTAGATCTGAAGCCGGCTTATGAACTTTACCACAAGGTAGCTGTCCCAAACCCACACGTTCCTGTTGAAATAAACCACGTAAATCTATTTCTGCTGTTGTCGTATTTCTTTCTTGCAACCATATGCTTGTCTATAACACTAAGAAAACATAAGCATGAAGAATTGGGCAAGAAATGGTGGCATAATGACTGCAGATTGTGTCTCACTTAATTATTAAAGTTTCAGTGAAGAAAATGATCAAAGCAATATCCATGAAAGACAGATTCATACAGTTGGATTCAAGTTCAAATCTAATCAGAATTTTTTTCTAATTGTTAAGAATTATTTATTACTTGCCTGTGCTTGGTTCCAACTGTCCTTGTCTGGTCAAGGTCTTTGTTTCTTTATGATTTTAAGTTGATCTGGAAATTGTTGTCTTACTTGTGTAATGATGTTTTCAATGGCTCTGCTTGCAATCAACTAAGAATGAGCTCTGCCAGATGAAAAAATAAAAGAAATAATTAATAATCAAAAGATATGGAGAAAGATTTATGGTATTGGGATTACCCACACCTTCTCTGTCACGAAATCCACTAGCTTATGTAGAGATTTCCGTCTCCTAGATTAATTGCCAAAGGTGGCTAAAGAACCCAGTCTGCCCTATTATTTAACTTATAACTAGGAGGTTGTATTTGGAGGCTAATTATCTTTTCCTGTTTAGCTTGAGTAAGAAAATATTTGCAATATTTCAATAGTTTTCACACAAAATTCAATTTCTTAATATTTGAAACAGAACACAAATATTTTGAATGCTAATAGCAAAACCTGCCAACTATGCATAGAAGAAAAATCACAAATAATCATTTTCAAAGACCAAGTTATTATAATCATAAAATGTCTTTCAAGAGAAAATGCAATGCTAACAATACTATACTTTCTAAATATATATGTGATCTAAAACCAGACTAAAAATAAATGCATATAAAATATATGAAAAATAAAAATTAAAAAGATAAAAATTATGATTTATCCATTTATTTTTATCTTGTAATATAAACTCTAATTATGCTATATATGTGATAAAAAATATAGTATTAAGGTATGCTATATTATAGGTAACAGTGCTCAATATCAAGGATAGAGTGTATATTTATAAAACTGGACAGTGATATCAACACTGAGTGGTGACAGTCTATGTCTTGCTTGAACAGAATTCTCAGGCCAGAAAATCACATTCAAGAATAAAACAGACTGTCACCACTTGGTGTTGAACTCAGTGTCCAGTCACATGTGCGTGTGTATGTTAGGCAAAAAGATTTTTAGTAGATTAGTGTAATCAAGAAACAGTTGTTTGAATAATGCAAAATCTTAGTTTGTGCAAAAAATTCTGAGTATGAATGTACAAAGTTGTGTATTTGGCAGTAACCCCTTTTTAATACATGCTTCATTGAAGAGAACTGACATGGTACATTTGTTTAGTTTTTTATGACATTCTTCTTATGAATCTACAAGTGTCTTCTTTTCTGGACTGAATGATTGTAAAAATTGTCTAAAAGTTTGTTGGTTCCAAATGCTTGCAACTAAACTATTAGTCCTTTCCAAGAATTTTTATTATACTACTATAATAAATGGTGAGAAAGTGTTGATGATATTACAAACATTTCTGAAAGTAGAGATATATTTCATTTCCAAATATACCCAGGAAATTGTGGCTGTATTCATAATGTTATGAAGGGTTGGTTTCTTGATTTTATAATAATGTATTTCTATCAGTTTTCAACAATTTTACAGTGGGTGGTTTGTATGACATTTATATTCTTAACAAGTATGTTGTATGTTGTGGGTGGTAGAATTCCATACTTGTTTAAATGTGTCCATATTGATCTCTGGTTGGAGAGATATAGCATCACTCATCTTGATAGGCAGTTGATAGTGCATTCAATATAATTATTTATGGGTTTGTTCTTTATCCAGATCCTAATTCCCTATAGGATGTCTGAAGTCATAAATAAGGTTAGTCTGGTATAGTTTTGATTTCATCAGTGAGATATTATTTCTGATAATCAGCTTATATCATTTCTGTCTAGATTTCTAGCATGAAGAATTATCATTAATTATTGTTGTCCTCATCTTGGTTGTTGATGAGGACAACAGTCTGCATGTAAATAATATAAATAATCAGATTTTAGCAATTCTGTAGACATAAGGCCAAAAGTATTGAGCACCCAATGCAGATTCAAATCACTACTCGCTTGTAACTGATCTAGAGAGATAAGTTTGCTAATCTTTACGCCATATCAAAGTGTGCAAATAATTAGGTTATATGCTGGTAATTTTTTGTAATAGATAATTTGATATTTTTAGTTTGTTCATCAAGAGTGGTGAATGTTCCTTAAAAGGTATGAACAAAGACTTACTTTGTGATCTAAAACCTGACTAAAAATAAATATATATATAAAATATAAATATAAAAGAAAGATAAAAATTAAAAAGTTAAAAATTATGGTTTCTCCTTTTATTTTTATCCAATAATATAAACTGTAATTATGGTCTCTCTCTCTCTCCATATATATATATATGATAAAAAATAATATGCTATATTTATGGGTAAATGTGCTCAATATAATGGATAGTTCACACATGAGCTATCCCTGATACTGAGTATTTTACCCATAAATATAGCATACCTTAATACTATATTTTTTATCATATATATGTGTATTTGAGAAAACAGGATGAATTTTGAATTTGCTATAAGGTGCTGACCTCATACATATAAAGACTGAAAAATGAGGTCAACACCTTATAGCAAATTCATCCTGTTTGTAATATGTAGATGGTTACAATAAAATATATTACTGCTATTGTCTGGGAATTATGTTGTTATTGTTTAGTTAACATTTTTATTACTTTAAATGTTATTTTAGTGGATACCCATTTTTGAATAGAATACCACTTTTTTTTTTTTTTTAAACAGGGTTTGTTTCATCTACTGACCTGCACATTTGAGAAAATTTGTTAAGGAAAATATGCCCTCCAACAGGATCTGAACCTACATCCCCCTGTGGAAGGAACAACCATCTGATCCAGCATGCTTTAACCAATTCAGCTATGATTAAAAAAAAAACAATGTGCCATTCCACTCAAATATGATTAACTGCTAAAAATAACATCTGAAATAATAAAAATATATCACATTAAACTAAAAAAATAATGAATTCTTTAGAAAATACACAATATATTCAATTTATTTAAAACATATTTTAGTTCTATTAGCAAAATGTTTTTTTCAGCACTAAAAATAAAACTGCCAAACAAGTATAAACTTTGCTCATGTAGATATTTTTTGCATACTCAAGGAAAAGGCATAAATCCAAAACTCCCTATGTTTTATGACATCACTTATCTTGCCTATGGACTTGTCCCTAGCATTTATTTTTCAGTAGACTTGGAAAAGGTTGAGTACTAAAGAAATTCATAAAAAAAAGAAAGAAAAAGAAAAACCTTATCAGCCAAGGTAACCAAATAACTCCAACATCTATTATCAACCTTGACTTTCACCCGTTAGTCTAAGGGGTTAAAGTAACTAAAATCCAAATGTTTATGGATGGTCATAGACAGCAAATCTTCTGACATTCCTGGGAGCAATGACCTCATTAATTTAAAAAGAGGGCACAAATAGAAATAGGTTCAAATCATAAGCTCCTTTGCAGACAAACATCGGAGAAAACAATGTGATCTGTCTGTGAAAAAAACTCCAAGACTTATAGATATCTCATTTTGAAAAATAGAATTTGTAAGAACAGAAGTAATGAATCTTGAACATTTTCACTATATCCCCATTGAACAGTGCAGAGAAGTTAACTGCTTTGTGCTGCTTCTAGGCAAACTCACTCTCTCTCATTTTCACAATACACCATCACCAGATGTGTCTGCTAAAGACTATTAATTCTGATTATATGAACACAAACTGTTTTCAGATCTGTACAAATCAGATTTAGATCTAATTCAATCAGTTTCTTAGAAATATTGTCCCAATCCTGGGATTTTCATTCAATAATGTTTGTTATTTACCTTAAATAGAAGTTGTTGTGTGTGTTGGTCTTTGAGGGCAGACAGACAATTTTTCTTTTCATTTTTTAGAGAAGCACCAACTACACCATGTTTTCACATCAAATTTTCTTCTCATCACCACATAAATATTTTTCTAACTCTGAGAAAACTAAAGTGAAATTATTTTCCTATTATTAAGTCATGCCACGCATGATACACATTTAGGCAATCATGTATTTTTTGATACCAGACTGATGAGGCAGATTTTTTCCTGTAGTAGGTT